TACATAAATACAAAAGCAAACATCGAAGTCAACACTCATTGGCTACAGACAGCATCAAGCAGAATGTTGCCTCTGAGTGTTGACCTCAATGTTCACTTTTGTATTTACATACACTCTATCTCTGATATTGAGCACTTTATCCCATAAATATAGCACTTCTTAAAACAATATTTCTTCATATATATATATATATATATATAATGAAATGGATGAAGTCCAACAATTATTTTAATATATTTTATTGTTATATGTTAATTATATAGACCCAAATATTTCAGTAAATGCTGTTTATAATATATACAGTATTAACAACATTTACTGGCCTGAATGTCTGATAAATTTCATAGAAAATATGCATCCTCTGACAGGAATCGAACCTGTATCCTACATGTATTTGTAGTTTAAAAGCAGTAATTCGACCTTGCTAACCAGATGCTTCCTTCATAGCTAAACAGGTATAGCGCATCAGGTTATATGATATTTCCTTATAGGATACTCAAACAACTTATGCCCCTGAACCTGATCACTACAATCTTGACCTGTTCATGTCTAGAGTCAACCGTTATCTTTTCCTTCTTTCCATATAAACTACTGTAAAAAAAAAGAAAAAGAAATATAGCAACAACTCTTATGAAGCTTCATTTGACTCATTCACTTTTTGTGCTGAAAACATTTATTTTATTATACTGGATGGTTACAAGCAAGAGGAGAGATGTGATGTGCTTATTTTATTATACTGGATGGTTAAAAGAGAGAGGGAGGATGGAATGGGATGTGTTTATTTTGGGTATATAATCTAACTGATTTCATTTAAATTATTTTTTTTTCTTTTTGTTTCCATCACTTTTGTTACCCCACAAGTTCTGCTAAGAAGTTAAAACATTTTAAGAACCTGAATGCAAATTTTCTATGGATGAGTTTATGATTAAAGCCTTCTCTAAACATTTTCATCTTAGTGAATTGATTCTCTATTAATTAGAGTGGTTATTTTTTAAATCAAAATTCTGGTCAATCTCATTATGGTGAGCAACTAATGCATTTAAAAGATCCCTTCTGTGTTCATATAATCTTTTATTTAAATTCCTTGAGGTTTCTTTAATGTATTCTTTGGGGCAATTATCACAGGTGATAGAGTAAATTCCTCCTTCAAGTTTCAGCTTATTATTTTATTTTGTAAGTATGATTAAGTCTTTTATTGTTTTAGATGCAGTTGTGACAAAAATTGAGATAAATTCTTTTTAATTGTAGTTGCGATAGACTTGAGTTGGTAGAACAGTTTAGATGTTTATTGGGTTTGTCAGGAAGGAACAATTTTATTTTGAAATATTTTATAAATTTTTACCATTTCACATTGAATATGAAAAGTATCTCTATATATATATATACTTTTCATATTATATGTGAAACACTATATATATATATATATATATATACAAAGAATAATCACACATAGAATTAATCAGAAGTATTAATGCGATTATTGGCGACATCCATCGCTAGAAAACATGATATATGCATTAAAATCCTGTTCATCCAGAGTGCGAGTTTTGATCCTTGAAGAAAAACTTGTTGTCTGTAGTTTTTCAGTTTATTTGATGTTAAAATGCTAGTACTTACGGACGGCCTTCATCCATCATCAGGCATGTGTTGTTTATCTTATAAAATCAAAAACTTGAGACGATATATCTGTATGTCGACCGAAAGATGTTTTTGAATATCTGCTATTGTTGACGGGTGTGTAAGATCGTGGAACAAAAATTCAAAGACCCAACAGCTAAATTTTTCAAAATTTTTTAATTTTGGAAAAATTTTTTTATTTAAATATTTCTTGTGATGTGTTAAATCCACATATTCTATTTTTATGTTTATTAAAAAATATCGATCCATTTTGTCCATATTATAATACAAAAAAAAATTTTATATAAAAAACTACTACTAAGACATTACACTATATTATTGAACTATATACTTAGTTCATGACATAAAAACTAATACACTTTTTAATTTCATCCTTGATGTTTGCTAATAAAAAATATGTTATCAACATAGCAGGGGTGTAAATTGTTGGTATAGGGTGTTTTTGTTTCCCTTTCAAACAATTTGAATTCAGAATTTCCTTCTCCAAAGAGATGGATTCATGCCTTTCCCAAGTATATTAGCATGTAAAAATAAACATAATGAACTCGACTGGAATTCGAACTTGGCTCTCTGATTCTTCAATCCAGGCTGTAATTCATTATTCCACCATATTCATTTCCTAATGCAGTCAAGAAACTGTTTTATATATAATGTCACTTATATGACATATACACAGACTCAGACACACACATACACTGACACTCACACAAACACATACATGTCCCTACATACATTGCATAAATATATAGACTTATGGCCACATCACCTTGAAACACCGGTTCTCATATAATCACCAAAGTTAAGCAATGTTGAGCCTGGTCAGTACCTTGATGGGGGAGTGTTTGGGAGTAACAGGCACTGTTAGGTTCGTTACAAACACATATGTGCAAATACCCTTAGGAAAGGTATGAATCCTTCTGTTTTCCCCAAACTATAGGTTAATTAGTAAGACGTGTATCGCTAAATCACTATTATCTGAAAAAAAAATTTTACTATCTAAACATATTTTCTGGCTTTAAATAACCTGCAAAAAGTTGATAAGCCATAGGAAACAAATCAATAAATATACATGAATATGCATCTGACTGAATAAAATTTTTTCTGAATATGTTTTGCATGAACTTGTGAGAATATATACAATTTAACCGGAAGTTGTCATAAGGTAATGGGGAGCTGGATAAAAAAAATAGTTTGATGCCTGAATAATGATGCTATAAATTTATATGAATGAAAGAATTTCTCTGAAAAGATATAGATGTGCAAAATTCCATACAAATAAAAATATCGTTTTTAATAAAAAGTATGTTGATGAATGTGTATGTTTGAATCCATGTATATAAAAATATTCTGTTTCAGTGATTTATTTCATACCAGCCAACTATGGAGCTCTCTAATGCATGAAGATCAGAAATACAAAAAAAAGCAAGGGGAATGATTGAGTTTATCACAATGTGGCTTTTTTTTTATTTGAAAATATTTCTGTTTGTCCATGATGTTTTTTCTTTTCATTGTTAAAGAGGAACTGAGAAATAAAAAAATATGTGACATATTTCAGTCGATCATTTCCTTATTCAGTCATATGATAGAAGATTGCAAAACAGTGCCTGTTAGCAGGGTATAATCAAGCACATTGTTTGATGTTACCCAAGGTTAGTGCAAGGAAAATGGATGACAAATGTTGCATAGTCATGTATTGTGGGGGTAAAGGGGCTGGGTGAATGGGCTAAAACACGCACATAAACACAGATAAGCATAAACATATACATTTATATATACACCTTTATATAAGTTGACATGTAGGTATTTACATTTCCAGTCCACTGAAGAGAGTGGCGTGTATATACAGATTTTTACACAAATCCTCTATACATGTATGTGAATACATCATCTATACATGTATGTGAGTACACACACACACACACACACACACACACACATATATATATATATATATATATATATATATATATGTAAAAAAGACAATATGAATTTATATCTTAGCCAATGTGTCTGATGGACTTTATCAAGAAATACATGTTCAAAATAAAAACCCTTACATTTGCCTTAATAAAGTCCATCAGTGAAGATAAGTTTTCCTTTTGTCTTTATATATATATATATATATATTCTCTCTCTCTCTTTCTTTCTCTCTCTCTCTCTATATATATATATATATATATATGCACAAACACACAGATATTTATACACATACACACTCACACACACATATATATATATATATTCACACAAGTACACAGACATTTATACACACACACATACATGCATATATATATATATATATTCACACAAGTACACAGACATTTATACACACACATACATGCATATATATATATATATATATATATATATATATATATATATATATATATATGTGTGTGTGTGTGTGTAAATATGCATGTTAGTAGGATGTATTGTAGTAGCTAAAACAAATGTGGAATTAATAGGACAAAATGTAAAAAGGTCTTTAATGTTGCATTTTGACAACTTCTGTTAGGTTTGGCTTCTTCAGGTTGGAATGAAAGACAAAACTGTGTCCATTGTGATTTTAGAGGATAAGATCGGTAATGAATGAAATTACCTTCTCAGATCTGATGACCAGGCCAGAAAGTGTTTGTTTATTTGGGTTATTTTTTGTTTTGATTTTCCATATATATTAGAGCAGAGTTGGTGTCCACTGGATTTTAAATCAGTCCACTCTGAGTAGATCTCTGTTTTGTTCTCTCTTAGCGTGTATGCCTCATTGTGCTGCTATTGCTTTTGCGATCATTTGACCATTCCATATTGGACACAGGTTCAATTTCTGTTGGAGAATGCATATTTTCTATGAAATTTCTCAAACATTCAGGCTGGTAAATATAATTAATACTGTTTATTTAAAAAACAGAGCTTTTTTTTAATAAAAATTATCAATTACATTTACTGACCTGAAACAATAATTTGGACTTTGCTAATTAGACACATCCTCTGTAGCTGACTAGTATAGCATAACAGATGAAAAAACACAGCAGTTATTTAAATAAATTGTATTTATTAAAAAATAATGTATAAACAAAAAATATATTGAATAAATGTCAGACTTAATCTATTTCATAATATATTGTCAATGTTTACATTTCATGAGCAGATATGATCGTTCGGGAAAGGTCGTCAAAGATTTGTTGTTTAAAGACAACAATTTGGACTTTGCTAACCAAACACTTCTCTATAGCTAAGTGGTATAGCACATCAGATCAGATCAAATGACGGTTTTGTCTAGGACACAGTTTCAATTCCTGTTGGAGAATGAATATTTTCTATGAAATTTCTAAAACATTCAAGCCAGTAAATGGAATTAATACTGTTTATTTTAAAAACAGAGTGTTTCATTATATCTATTAAAAAATAATGCATAAACAGAAAATATATTATATATATATCAGGGTGCAGCTGGTATTTGAGAACATACAGTTTTAAGATTAATACTGCTTCCCACTAATTTCTAATGCTTTTATTTTTCTGAAATCAAGAATGGCAAACCCTATGATAACAAATGAAATGAAAAGGCATGATGTAATTATTGCATTAAATCTGATCATAGCGATTTGGATATTGCACGTTTCCTCTGAGTTGCAAGATCGTTTGTCCACAAGATACGAAAAGAGTTAGAAGATGCTGACAGTTCCTCAATGTCTGTATCAAAATGTAAAAGATATTCTGCATGTTCTGATAAAGTAAGAGCATCTGAATTTATTCAGGAAGTCTAGCAGACAATTGATGAAAACCGAGCTCAATCAATGAGGTCAAGTGCCAAAAAGCTGCATGTGTCTGAAAAAACAATCAGAAGGAGTTTTCATGAAGACATTTGATACAAGTCCTACGTGATAAAGAGCCATCAATTTATGTCTGGAAAAACAAAAGAAAACCATTTAAACAGATCTGAAAGGCTTTTAAACAAACTTAAAAATCCTTCAGAAGCTGGTGTGATTTGGTTTTTCTCAGATGAGAAAAATTTTGATCAAGATCAAAAACTTAACAGAAGAAATGACAGATGTCTTTGTTCAGATCCTTCTGAGGTGACAAAAGGGATGTGCACAAAATTTCCTTCAAGTGTTATGGTATTGGGTGTTGTTAGCAATGAATCACATGTAATGCCACCATACTTTTTTTCAACAAGGTCTTAGAGTAAATGCTGCTGCTTACATTGAGGTTCTAGAAACAGTTGTCAAGCCCTGAATTGACAACATATGCAACGGCTCCATCCCACAAGGCTCTACATACACAAGAATGAATGGCTGACCATTTTTACAACCACATCACACCTAACATTTGGCTTCCTAACTCTCCAGATCTCAATCCACTAGACTATTATGCATGGTGCATTGTTGAGAAGGAAGTTAATAAACAGCCTCATAACACCAAAGAATCTCTTAAAGCAGCAATAGTTCAAGTAATGTCTGACATAAATAAGGACCAATTAATCAGAGTTTGCAGCCGATTTCAACCTTGTGTAGATGCAGTTATTTATGCTAGTTGTGGTTTTATTGAATAAAATTAAATAATAGTTAGCTAAATTTCATGTTTACTTGTTTGTAATCAAATATAATTGTATTCATTTGTTCAGCAAGTTTTTTACTAATCCATAAAATCTGTCCTCAAATACCAGCTGCACACTGTATAAAGAACAAATAGGAAAATTTTATTAATCTAACATGTTTCACTTTTATTAAAGCTTCATCAGAGAATGAAATATGGAGAAAAAGAAGAAAGAAATCCTGGTATTTTTACTTTTGTGTTGTTTGATTTTCATTGGTCAGTCATGTTTCACATACATTTGAGTCTTTTAAGTCAATGTTAGTATAATTTGTGGCATTTTGAATTCAAGGAGAGGTGACATGTCCATCTGGAAGTTTCCAGAAATTAATGGATTCCATGCCAAAACAGAAAAACAATAAATATTGATATGTTTATCTAAAACAAAAGTTATGTATGTAAAAACATTCACAAATCAACTTGTGAAAAACCAACAAACATAATGTGTACTAGACATATACACACATACACACCTACCTATGCGCACACACAGATACACAATTAGGAATATAATATATCATCTGATGCCTAGAATTCTCATACAATTATATATCCTATGTTTTCTCCTTCACACTTTTTTGTTCCTCCTTCTTCACCTCCTCTTTTGTTTCCTTACCTTCTTCCTCCTTCTTTTTCCTCTTCTCCCTAGCTTTCTTCTCTCCTACTTTTACTCCTCTTCTCCCTAGTTCTTTTCTTCCTCACTTTTCTCAGTTCCTTCTTGTTTAATGTTAGGATATTCTTTTTATTTTGTTTTGTTTCTTTGTCAGAAAATGTAACTGATTCCAACTCAGAAGGGCCATGGATCAAACAGATACTACACTTTGATCCTGTATAGAAAACTCTAATGGCTGTACAAACAAACTTCTAATCAATAAACATTTCTTGCTTTAAATGAAAATAAAAATTTAAAACCAACTTAATTTCATCTAATTTTTTTTCTTTGAGGCAATTAATATTTATTTGTGAAAGGCAATTAAGAAAGTGTTTTTGTTGAGGTTGTGGAATTTTCATTATAGATTTTTGTAAATTATTCCATAAGTATAAAATTAATGTGATCAGCAATAAACACTTAATTCAAATAAATGACAGATGTTTGTTGCGCTTGCATATGATGGAAAAACAAACTGCATATCTTGTTTGTACTGACTTGATAAATTGCAACAAATTATATTTATAATTATATTTAATTAATGAAAATGTGTACCTGAGTGTGTGTATATATATATATATATATATATACAGTGCTGTGCAAATGTAAGTGAACCCCTAAGA